CTCCTTTGTCATAGATGAGCTGGCTGAGAGTGTCTGGAGTTGTTTCTACATCTTCTAATCTATTCCACTGATCCCTGGGTCTGTTTCTTTGCCAGTACCATGCTGTTTTTATCACAGTGGGTTTGTAGTACAGTTTCAAGTTGGGAATTGTGATACCCCCTGCCATGACTCTGTTGCCTAGAATTGCTTTTGCTAGTCTAGGTTTCTTATTGTTCCAAATGAATTTTTGGATTTTTTTCTCTAGTTCTGAAAAATATTTTGTTGAAATTTCAGCATTAAATTAAATCTATATAGCAGTTTTGGAAGTATGGCCCTTTTGACTATATTGGTTCTTCCTACCCAGGAACAAGGGATGTCTTTCCATTTTCTTGTATCCTCTTTGATCTCTTTTTTCAGAGTGCTGTAGTTTTCTGTGTAGAGCTCTTTTGCTTCCTTTATTAGATTGATTCCTAGATATTTCATTTTTTTGGATGCTGTTGTGAAAGGAATTGCTTCCCCAGTTTCTCTCTCAGTGAGTCTGTTATTTGTGTACAAGAAGGCTATTGATTTTTGAGTGTTGACCTTATATCCGGATGCTCTACTGAATCTGTCAATTAAGTCTAGAAGTCTTTCGGCAGAGTTTTTTGGGTCTTCTATATAGAGTATCATGTTATCATCAAATAATGACAGTTTAACTTCTTCTTTTCCTATTGAGATGGAAAATGTTTGTTAACTTGGTATCTGGTCATGGTAGAAAGGGTCCTTTGTGGTATCTTTCATTCCAGACACAGTTTTTGGGTACCTACTTTATGCCCAACAGGAGAACTTCAGTTATCCGTCCTACTTATAGATGTTTCTCTGATACATCCTGGGCTATGATTTGTCTGGATGGCCCTGGTCAAGGTGTCTCCATTTCAGGAGGGCTTGTGCTTTCTAGTGGCACCTGGTTGCCTTCCCTCAGAACAAGGCAGCCTTAATTCTGAGCAGCTCTGTGGCACCAGGTCAGAGCTTTCTTAGCTCTTTAATGCAACTTTTTTTATAAAGGAGCATTGTTAATGGAATATTTTTTAAACAAATATTCACTATTTTGAATGTAAGAGTTTTTGAGCCATCAGAGTGAGTGGTTTCCTCATATACTTACAAAAAAGGAATTCATTTATTTCTTTTCCTGCTGGATGCCTAAGAGATAGTTGATGCAAATATACCACAAAAGCAGTTCTTGCCTTGATGGAATTCATTTAGATAGCACACCAATATATGCAGAGTCAAAGCAGTACGCTACTATTTAATGAATATTCTGACACAGATTAATTACATAGTAGAGAAAACCAGAAATAATTTCCTTTCATTTATGTATTCATTTAGTTATTCATAAATAATTGGAGAAAATCTGCAGCATGCCAAGTGCTCCCTCCCTCCCCCTCCCCCTCATCCTTCTCTTCCTTCTCCTCCTCCTCTTCTTTCTCCTCCTTCTCCCCTTTCTCTCTGTGGTGCTGGGGATCAAACCCAATGCCTCATTCATTCTAGGCAAGTACTCTACCACTAAGTTTCATCCCCAGAGCACAGTTTCTTTTTTAAAGAGTTCTCAAATTTAAACTTTTGAAGTACTCAAATGTTTTAGTCTTGGGATGGCTGTTTACTCTCAAAGATTATTTTAAGGACCCCCCAAATTTTTCTTTATGTGAATTATATCAACTGATATTTGCCTATTAGAAATGAAAACTGAGGAAATTTTAAAATGTTTATTCACTCATTTAAAATAACAGTAAGTCTATTGGATAAAAAATATGTGAGTGAGAAGAGTAGGATAACCTTATATTTTCTGTGAATCTAATATCTGATTTGACGGAGAGCTAGATTCTCAGGTCTACTTTTTTTTTTTTTGGCACCAGGGATTGAACTTGGGTCCTTGCACTTGTGAGGCGGGCAGCAGTCTCAGGTCTACTTTTGCCTTCAATCTGTTGCAATATGTTCTTTTGATTATTAAGTATAGTAATATGCTTTGGCTATTAAGTATGTTAGGTAAATATGGTCTCCTACAGAATGGAAAGGGAGCCATATTTTAATACTCTTATAATGTAATTATGGATACTCCTCTTTTTTAATGCACCAAAATTTCACTACAAGTACTTTCTTAAAGATTAATTGCAAAGTGGAATCAGAAAGCAGGTAATGAGCTTGTTACATATCGTCATATGAAATCCATTGATCTGTCTTACTGTTTCAGACAGTCTTTTCCATGAATGATTGTATAACCTCATGTATTAATCACTGGAAAAGTATTGGCTCACCACTTGGTCCACCACTGCTTTCTATCATCTGTGCAAATTTCAACACGGTGGAAAAAGTTAAATAATATTTAATGTTATCATAAAAATGTTTTTGACATTGCAGACCATGTGAAAGGCTCTCGAACACTGTCAGAAGTCTGTGGGCCACATTTTGAGACTCGCTCTGGCTGAAGGGCTAATAGGTAGAAAGTACAGTTTAGAGTCTATCTGAGCTAAAACAAAACTTTACTACTCACTGAAAGTATGACCTTGGGCAAGTTACATAACTTCTCTTAGGGTCAGTTTTCTCATCTGTGTTAGTTACTTTTCTCTTGTTGCTGAGACAAAATACCTGATACCCAAAGTTAAAAGGGAAGGGGTTTATTTGGCTTACAGTTCATAGAGGTTTCAGTCCATAATCAGCTGGCTCTGAGGCTGGGATGGCACACAAGCATTTCAGAGGAGAAACAACATGGTGCATACAAGGCAGCAAAGGTAACAAGAGAACTTCAGTTCATGGCGGCTGAAGACAGCACAGGCAACAAGGGAAACTTAACAGTGTCTCCCTGCCCCTTTTATCTTTTTTTTTTTGATACAGGGGATGGGACTCAGGTCCTTGCTATTGTGCAGCAGGCGGAGAAACCACTGAGCTAAATCCCTGACCTCCTGCCCCTTTTATCTTATTCAGACTACTTAGGTTGGATAGCACTCACACCCTTAATCCCAGTGCCCTTGAGCCTAGCATTGCATCATGAATCAATTTCAACTTCACACACTCTAGATCAAGTGTATGACCACATGAGGATTTGGAGGGACATCTAGGCCAAAACCATAACACCATCTATAAAATGGGGCTACAAGCAGTTCCTACATCATGGAGCTATGCTCAGTATTAAAATTAGATAAGATAGTGCTCATATCTGTTGGCAACTAGTATTACAATGATAACTGTGTAGGCAATTATAATATTGAATGATAATGCAACCATAGAGGCAAGGCTCACAAGAATTGATCAGAAAGGCTTTGCTGAGAAGGCAAGGCCAGGCAGCATTCTGAAGATGGGGAACTGCAGCTCCCATTTTTCTCAAGCTTTTCTTCCATTTTCTATTTTGGTGGGTGGTGTGGGAGACTGGAGATGAAGCTAGGAGCAGAGAAAGTCAAAAGAGAGGGAATGAAGGACAATGCCCAAAGCTATGGAACATAAAATGAAAGAGTTTATCTTAGGTAGACAGTATAGCAGCAAGGTCCATAACCTGTATTACCCTATATCTCCTTGGGGATTTTCTGTAAAGGGTTTCATTAACCCCCTTTGGCTAATGAGGAAAGTGAAGCTAAAAAATTTTTAAGTATTATATATTTTGGTCCTCATTTACACTTTCAGTTTCTCAAAGGGGAAAGGGAAGTGGGGGGGGGGATGGGGAAAGGAAAGAAAGGAAAGAAAAAAATATGAGAAAAGAAGGGCAAAACCGGAAACAAAGTCTTTGTAAATAGGGAGAGGTGGAAGGGTGGAAGAGAGGGAAGGGAAATGGGGAAAAACCAAGATACATCATATACAGGTACAAATTCCCAATGATGAATGTGATCATAATGTATACCTAAAATGCACCAATAAACTTAATGGAAAAAAAATTTAAATAACTTGATCAAGTCATAAGCATTGTTCATGGCCAGATCCAGGACTTGAATTAAAGTCTCATCTGGTTAACAAACTCTTTATCTTTCCGTAACACCAGCCAGTAGCTTGATAAAAAACTGAGCTCAAGAATAAAGCTTCATTTTATAAACTTAGACTTCTTGATCCAGTCATCCCTTCTTGCACAACAAAAATTCTGGGGTAGTATTTAGTACTGTATAACATCTTTTATCCTATACTTTACTTATTAGCAAATGAATTTATCAAAGACCAAATTACACATTGCACCTTAAAGTCATTCTATATGATTTGGGCTTTTAGGTAGATCAAGCTGGTCTTACCATTTGTTAAACTGAGGCAATGAAGTTTTAACTGACAGTGCTATGTAATCTTGAATAATCTTGGTGTAAAACTGATAAATACCTAAATGTGATTATAAAGATACTCTCCTTAGGATTTGGTATGATACAAATATAAGTCAGTGGGACATTTTTAAAGAGCACAAAGCAGGTGGAGGAGCGACATTTTATGAGAATTTCTCGATTGGGCATGGTATGGAGCTGGGGTTTCTGGTGGCCTTCCTGGGGCCTCTAGCTTAACTCTTCCCTGGGAACTGAAGTCAAGCTTCTGGAAGAGCAGCTGGCTACAAGGAATCCCATTTCTCAGGGCCAAAAAGCCTCAAGCTTGGGCAAGGCTTCAATGTTTCTGTGGCTACAAGGCTGATCTGGGAGCGGGGCGGGGGGGGGAGTAGTGAAATGAGAAATGTTCAGCAGTGCCTTTCATGGAATGTATACTGGCTTGATCCTGTGTGAGTGCTGGGCAACCTCACAGTAATATCTAAGTCCTTTTATTTCCTTAAAGTTTATGCATAACAATGGGGGAATGGGTATATTTTCTAAAACAATATGAGGAGGCCAGGGAAAATAAATTGCCAGCTTTCATATTTTCTTAAGCCAGTTTAAATTTTTCTTTCTAAATTTGGAGAGGAAACTTCATATCTCTGCTCAATTTCAAACATGCATTTTCTTATTAATTTTCTGGTCAGAAAATATTGCACAACTGAAGATGTTGGGATGACCAACAAAAAAAGCATTCTTTATGTTTACTTTTTCAAACAGAGTATGTCTGAGGAGCTTCTTGAAGATGTGTCAAATATTTTCCAGATTGAACCAGAGGGTATATCAGATTGGGCAGCCTTAGACGCAGAAGTTATAGTTTTTAAATTTCAGGACACTTTGGAAATGCATCCAACAGAGGAATCAATGAAACCCATGGAAGACGGACAGCCCAAAAGCAACTCAAAAGTACCCAACAGGGTATCTATAAAGGTGAAAAACTATTAACATTAGAAAAACTTAGTGTTAGGCAAGATTGAGGCTGTACAGGTGTACAGAAATGGTCCAGGCTAGAACCAAGGTATGATTTGTGTGTGTGTGTGTGTGTGGTCCATCCTGAACAGGGGTCTCAGAAATGCAAATTGTCTATTTTGAAAAAAGGGAGCATATGTTTTTTGAGGGCTTTTGGTCTCAACCCTAATTACAACTCTGAGAAGGGAAGACAGATTTTTCCAGGAAAGAGGGAATCTGTAATCATTAAGAAATTGACCCAGAGCCTTTCAGTACCATCTCAAGGCAGTTAGGAACTGTAGTTCAGGGATCAGAACTGGGTAAACTTTTCAGCTATTATAACTTTGCTCTGTTTAGGTTTATCCTAACCTTTGAGTCTTTTCTTATTGTTAAATGTTTTTGATTAACTTTAGTTATGAATCATTTTCAATTTTCAATATTTACAATATTCACATAATCATCCCACTGTTTTAATACTTTAAGTCAAGCCAGTCACTTTTGACTTAAATAAATTTGTTTTAAAATATCTATAGATGAGCATAAAAGTGGCATGTGGCTAGCTAAGATTCAGAATGGGTTCAGGCCTGAAAACAATGTTAAGAACAAAAAAAAGAAAAAAAAGCAATTTGCTTGTTAGTTTTGGAGCAAAGAGAGGGAAAAAAGAAAGAACCTTGTCATTTTGGATGAATAGTGTAATGACAACAGATGACAGAGCTACCTTGATTTATTTTTGTAAAAAGGTTGAGGCTTTAAATAAACAGAAATGTGTCAGAGAGAAAGGAAACTGATACACTCAAACCTTGCTTCTTAAATCTGAGAAAGCAAGTGATCTTTAGAGAGAAAAGAAGATTTATTTGAATCTTGAATCCCAAGATTTGTAAAAGATTTTGAGAGTTAGCCAACAGGTGAGAGAGGAGCCAGGTGTCTTTAGACTGGGAAGTATAAATCTGACTTTTATATTTTAAGGGTAAAGGTTTTAACTTTTGGCAATCTATCTATGCACTGGTCTTGGGCAAAACTCTACATGATTAAGTGACTTATTAAAAGAATTGTGCTTAAACCTTTATGAAAGGAGTAGGGTTTCTCCAAGGACAAGCCATAGAAGACCAATCTCATTTCTTCTTTCAGAATTACTAGACTGAATTTCAGAAAAGTGTTAGATCTGCTGTTCAATGTAAGTGTAACATAGAGAAGTCCTGGGGTTTGCAGCCAGATTTTCAGGGACAGAATTCTCTCTCTATCCTTTACTCCCAACATGACCTTGGGTACTGAGCTACTTACTTGTATTGTTAAATGAAGATAATGACAGTGCCTACTGCATAATATTTGTTTGAGGATTACATGTATATGCTACAATAGAACACATTTAGAACAACACTTGACACATAAAAAATTCAATAAGCATGAGTGATGATTATTCTGAACTTTTGCAGTTCACTCATGAAAGGCTCCTAACAGTTTTGCTGCCAAGATTGTAGTTAGGCAGAATAGTCAGGTAGATTGCTGGATGACTTTGAAAGTAGTTATGCAGAGGGTGGACAATTACTGCATGCAAGTCCCTGGTGGAGTGCTACAAGGCTATGTCCATTTCACATATTTCTCAATAGTTTGTATGATAATATGGAAGACCATTATTGGTTGGATTTGTAAGTGGCATTCAAATGTAATGCTTAAGGTATGGTTGATCTGAATGCAGATGAAATTTAATAGGGATAAATATACCTATGGTTTTGTCTTTATGTCCATAAACTGTGTAGATATGGAATGATAGGACCTAATAATAGCAAATGTGAGACTCCAGGGTTTTAAAAATATAATATCATTTTGTGATAAGAAGACAAATGAAATTGTAGTTTTCATTGGTTGACATATGGTGTAAGAGAGGATCATCTTTGGTTGATTTGATCATATTGTACCTCAAATACATATTATGCTCAGATGGGAATGTTCAATCCCAGGGACAGGGGAGACTCTAACAAGTTAGAGACTGTTTGGAAAAGAACATTCAAAATAATGAATCAGAGTAGTGCAAAATCATATCATGGAAGTAGAGTTGAAGGCACTAAGGATGTCTATCTAGCAGAAAAGCAGGCCCAGTGGAGTCCATTGTATTCAAATATCTAACTATCTGTCAAGGGAAAGAAAGCTAGATTGGTGCCTGGATCATTCCTGAGGTTTGAATTGAGACTGGTGGATATAAATTAAAAATGTACCAATAAAATAAATTTAAAAAATTAATAGACTCAATAATAATAAAGAAACAAACAAAAACTCTAACAACTGGAATAGCTTCAAAGGGGAAATGACAAACCTTAAATGTATCTGACCATGTTCAAGCCAGACAATGACCACTTGGTGAATTTCCTGTAGAGGAAATTCAAATATTAATTGGAGGGGGAAATGGAATGCTTGATACTTCTTAAACTTATTATTCCTCCTCACTTCCTTACCCACGAAGTTACAAAAACTCTCTCCTTTCTACTGAACCAACCCCAGATTCATCACCTAATTTAGAGGAACTTTCCGGTATCTGGCCCTCTTCTGCATAATCAACCATATCTCTATGCTTCTTCCAAGTAAGGCCTCTCTGCTTTCTTCCTTAAATCTAGTCTCAAAATGAAAAGGAATCTCAGGAGAAAAATCCTTACATTTATGATTACATTAATTCTGCAAAATTTCCTAGAAGCAATACTTCCAAAGCTTATAGTGATTAGAAGATAATTATTTATGAGAAAGAATGTTTTATGTTTGCTAACCAGTAGAAATAGAAAACAGCACAACTGTAATAAATAAAAATTGATAAATATTGCTCAAAATAATAGTAATAATAATAATAAAGCATTTAAATTATTTTTAGCTTGTGCTTGTAACCACATATCAAAGAAATTAAGGGTAAATTCTGTTAAAAATACCAATCAAGAAGATGGTTATTGGGCTAGGGAAATAGCTCAGTGGAGACGTTTTGCCTAGCATGTGTGAAACTCTGGGTTCCACCCCCAAGACTAGAAAGGAAAAAAAAGTAGATTTATGGAGGTTAGAATCTTATATTTCTCTAATAATTTTAAGGTAATAAAAATATTGTAAATACATATAGTACTAATATTTTCATTGGCATGAAAATGTGTATGTAAAAATTTAGGAATGGATTTGGAGGGAAATAGGATTTATATTCTGTTATAAAATATACACAGAAATCACAAATTTAAATATGAGATGGGCCCCTAAATATCAGAGAAAGATTTAACTCTTGTGTTACAACCTCCCTTAACATAACACTTTATATTTTTTTAAAGGTGCAATCATCAGAATTCTTGCAAATCAGAGGAAAAGAAGTTAAGCGAATACGAAGAAGTAAATCAAGAACTCCACCGAGACGAAAAAAGCTTTTAAAACCCCAAGTAGATAAAAAACTACTTAAAAAGTAACTTGCTTAAATTCACAAATTTTACTATTTGAAGAGCAGTCAGTAGCACTGGTACTGATACACAAACATCCATTTCTTAGAAGGAAAACTAAATGTTTTAGAAATTCATATTGAGATCTGAGTCTCAGAGGAAGTTAATGGCAGATTTTACTATGTTAGGCTATATATGCTGTACTCCATGCTTCTTTCTATTCATGTTTTTGATCAGTGTACTTAATATAACAAATGCAACGATAGCTAGAATAAAAATATCTGTTTGTGAGACTAAGTAAAATTATTAGTGTGTTCAATTTGACGTTTTTGATCACTGCAATGCCTGATTTGGAACAACTGCTTATTGTATCAGTTAATTTTGTTATGACAGAAACCCAACACAAAATGTCCACAGGCCAATTAACTTGGCAGTTTAGAAGGCTTCATTTTTCTGTACTATCATTTCATGTTTCATTCCCCACCATATTTTTAATGGAGTTTTTTATTACATAGGAATATAATTGCAATTTTGAACAATAATGTGTAAATACAATTTAGATTATAGTTTACCTTTTACCATTCATCTTGTTCAAACTTAGGTTTTCTCTTTATTTCACTAGTAGATTTTTATGAGTTGGTTTATTCCAGATTATTCTTCATTTAACTCTTTATGGGGGTTTAAAGAACCTTTAATTGTTAGCTTTTGTTGTTGCTTAGGGAACTGAAAAGTGTGTGTTGGACATGGAGGCGAACTTTTTTTTATGGCCAGCCTAAACTCTGTAAATGGATATTACTCACAATTTAGTAACTGAGAACAGACTCATGGGAAAAGAATTCCAAAGTTTATGAAACAGCCAAATTGGCATTTAAGTGACCCTGTACATGCCATTGCTTATCTGCATTGCTTTAAGCTCATTAAGTTAGCAAGATTATGTATTAAAACAAATAGTGACAGCAGACAACAAGTATTTTACCTTCAATAAATAGTTACTGTCAGATTATCAATGAAGCAGAAACTTCTTGATTTTTTTCCCTAAAAAACCTTGCATTTAGTGCATTAAGCAAAGTAGTATGGCCACACACAGAGTCAGAGTCTTTTCTTTTTTATGTCTTCGTGTTTCAAAGAATGACAAATAGTCTTGCTTAAGGAGAGTGTGTTATAAAAACACAGAGCTTTTCTTGAGCATGCCAAAGATATTTGTAGATCTTATTGATACATATAATGCTGTTTTAATTCATTTAAGCTGAAAATAGAAATTTCCATTAAAGAGAAACAAGAATGAGATGCAGAAAAAGAAAAATATGATATTTTAAAAGTTTGTTATAAAAGAGAACCTTGGAGAAAAGTTTTTGAAAGTCTTCAATTCAACCCTGCCTTTTCTGTATTTTTAACTGAACCCTTTTCATAAGTGACTAGCCCTCAAATTAAATTGTTTTCTTGGGAACTCAGTACTCTATGACAGCATATTGTTATTTAGCTCAATAACCAAGGGAGATTCACTTGCTAATCTGTGTTGTTATACTATAATGGAAGCATAAGAATGTAAGATGACTGTCCTACTTTTTAAAGAAAAAATAAAAATCAGTAATGTAATCTCCAGCACATTCCACCAGCCAGGACCTGTCCTAGGCAGAATAATGGTACATGTGCACTTGACATTGGAGCTTACCTTTTTGTCCTCTCTCTTTTTTGAAAGCTTTTTCATAGGAACCCAGAGTGCCTGAAGCCTGGGCTTCCTGGACAACCCAGTTTACTTGCCCACTTAGGTCTCCTTTTCTCAGGTGTTTCCAAATGCTTTTGATTTGTCTCTCCTTTCTTCCCCTACACAGGAACATTTACAAAATTCCTGTTATGTTCTTACTGGACTGTGGTGTTTGGAAATGCCATAAGCTGTTCTCTGTTAGTGATTGAATAGTGCACATACTGTGCCTGGCTATAGATTAGGTGCTGTGTTGTGCAAATTAATAACAACAATAAAAATAAACTGGCATTTCTTGAGAGACTACCAAAGACCAGGAATGATATATCTGTTATTTTAAAATAAATTATCACAAAAGCAAGAGATAGGAGTTTTTATTGTAATTTTTTGAAGTCTTTCAAAGAAGCTGCTAGTGCACTTTGTAGATATTAGAACTGAGATTCTAATTTAGGCTCACCCAACTCCAAGTCTACATTCTTTATATTGTGCTTCTATCTGAAGTATCCCAGACACATAGAGGCATTAGTAGACACACCAGCACTCACCAAAATGAATGGGATAAGAGTAGGGCAATGTATGAAAAGAGACATTTGTAAAACAGAGTTACAAAAAAAAAAAAAGAAAAAAAGAAAAAAAAAGAAAACAACTTTTGCAGAAGAATCTGTCTTCAAGATATTGTTGACAGATGTTCAGGCAGGGACAAGAGGGAAGACAGAATTCTATCCATAAGTGAAAGAACTGATGAATCTGATCCTGTAGTTTGTCCTGAAAACTGATAATAGCTCACATCAGCTACGTGAGAGACATTGTTCTAAATGCATTCAATTTTCTTACTTAAATCCAAACTTGCTTATGACCAAATGAAAATTGTAAAAAGGATTTGAATCCAGGGATCCCAACTCTAGGGCTGCACTCAACCACTGAGCTAGAATCAGAATCAAATGCTAAGAGCCTTGAAAGTTAGAGGGAAGTCAGACAGATTCAGTAACCAGCAAAGAACCCTTTTAAAAATTTTAAATTTTTAAATCACTGAGTTTAAAACCCTTTTGCTGAGTAAAGCAGTCCTTAAAACCAATCTGGTGGGATTTTGCAGAGTGAAAGACAGAGGGTGTGGTGCTCAACCATCTGGCAAACATTTGCCTGTGAAGTCTGAGGTGCGGAGTACCCTGCCTGGAGATGCTGGTAGTGAGGAGGGAGGAGCACTATGCAGCCCTGTGCAGGGGGAGAAACTCTGTTTTGGATGAATATGCAGTGCAGTTGGAGGAGAGAGGAGTCAGAGGTATTTTGATCTTGAAGAAGAGGAATCTAGGGAAAATAGTGATAGCAGAGATGAGATTTGGGAGCACTCAGAAAAGAGAGGAATAACTGAAATATTGAAAGGTGATTTTTCCAATACTGAAAGAGAAGTTCAAATCTTAAAAGCTACACCTGCTTTGGAAAGTTAGAGAAGGAAAGACCAGTGATTAAGTTGAATTATGATGAATTTGAGAGAAAGATGGAAAGCTGAGAGAAGCCCATGGAAGAAAGGACAGTTTTGAGAAGAGTCATGAACATTGTTAGTGGTGGCCTGGAGGTCATTAGAGAATGTGATTTATGGATCTAAAGTTGACTTGATGAAGAAAAGGACATTTGATTAATGGAAATATACAGCTTTAATAGGAAGGTAGGGATGGGGTAGTTCTGGATGAAAGGTTACTCTATTTGGGAGTCATTAATAGGCATTAATAGGAAAGAAATTTGACATATAGTTATCAGCACTGTGTTTGGATCCTAGTGACCATTCACTTACTTTGTGACCTATCCAATATAAACTTGGTACAAAACAAGGACACTATACCTCCAGTGTAGGTTCATTGTGAGATTTAGAAGGAATACGTGGAAAGCATATAGCCCAGAGCCTGGCACATTGCAATCCTCAGTAAGTATTTATTTTGATTGTTGGAGAGTAGCTTGAAGGATTTCCTACTTTGGAAAGGCAGGAGAGAAGGAAGTTCTGGAAAAGTAGAAGAGAGATTTTTTGCACTGACTTAGACACAGAACTCCTCCATGCTGATAAATAATGTATTATGCATAATGTTCTACCTTTTTAGGGGCATTCGCATTTTAGTAGAGTAGAAAGAAGCAATTCATGATGGCTGGATATGGTGTCCTTGGACTGAGTTATAGAATTCAGGTGAGAAGAGGTAGGAGTAGGATAATGTTTGCTTTTAGACACCTTTTGATCTTGAGATATCTGTGAGACTCATAGGTTGAGATATTCTGTAAGCAGTCAAATATGAATTTGAAGCTCTGAACAATGGCCTGAGACTATAATATTGAACTTGTTATAAATCATTGTTAGAATTTTATATCTGATCTCTTGCACTTAAGTATCACTTTTAGAACCTGAGCTAAGCTGTCAATATAAATGTATTTCATATCTAAAGACCACAGAGTGGTAGAAGCAGCTCACATTCTTTTTCTTGTTGCAGAATTCCACAGGCCCACTGTACTTCTCAGCTTCACCATCTGTGCACCACCACCCCAGCCCGGCAGTTGCCAATTGACTTGCAACTGGCCTCTCGCGTGTACCATACTGCTGACAAGAAAGGTCATAGCACCCCACTTGGAGTCTTTGGACCATCTTTCTTATGTGATCGCTTTGCAGATGCACATAGAGATAGGTAAGAATTCTTTGGTAATTTTGTTTTAAACTAGATTTCAACTGTCAAAGAAATTCTGTCTTTGATGTTCAGATTCTAAAGTTTGGATTCCGTTCTTGGACACTAGAGAAGGAGCCATTTTTATTTTTTTCCATGGCTTTCCTAGTGTGTACACAGACTGTTACTATCTCTATTTCTGGACAGTATTGATAAGAATCATACCTGTCTTAGTTTGCTTAGTGTTGTTTTCACAGAATACTTCAGACAGAGTAGTTTATGAATAGAGTGAATTTATTTCTAATAGTTCTGGAGGCTGGAAAGTCTGATATCAAGGTGCTGGTGTCTAATGAGGGCCTTCTTGAGTCATTCTATGGCAGAAGAATAAAGGCCAAAGTAAAGGAGGGGTTGGGGAAGGGAAGGAATGAGGGAGAGAGAGAATTAATTCATTCTACTCATGTTTTTTTAAAAATCATGATCCTCTCCTGGAGTAAGTAACCCACTCTTAGAATAGTAGCATTAAAGCATTCGTAAGGGCAGAGCCTTCGTGATATAATCCCTTCTTCAAAGTTTCATCTCTTATCATAGCTTCACTGGGAATTAAATTCCCAGCACATGAATGCTGGAGGATGTGTTTAGAACATAGCAATATCCTATCATAAGGTAACTTTAGTGCAGTTGTCTAGTTCCCCCAAAGTGTTACATAATTATCTCATTAGTACTCCGTAACAGTTCTGGAATATTGATATGGAAATTGAGGCACATAAAAATTAATCAACTGAGCTCCATGTAAACAATGAAAAAAATTCACAGATTTGGCACTTGAACTATCTTTTGAATTATATCTCAGCATCATTGGACATACTTGGGCCCAGGGTCATGTTCAAAGGTCTTTGCCTGTTGAGTTCATTCCATTTCTCCTTGTGTCCCAATTGCCTTTGAAACCTGCATTGTATTTGGTGAAGAATACAAAATGTACAACATTGTCAAAAGAGAAGAGGAAAGGAAAGGAAGCTACATTTTTTTTTAGCAGAAGCAATATTCTGAGCATCGTGCTGGGTGTTATTGCATATACTTTCTATTTAAATCTTCAGCTGTAAGGAAGAAGTCATAATTTTCATTTTATGCAAGAAGAAACGTAGGCTCCATGATAGCCACAAAACCTTGCTCAAGTTCTTATTTCTGGATAAAATCCAAGTTCTCTGAGATTTTCTTAACTATTTTTGCACTTTCAATTTTTTTTGGTCTTAAATTCTTTTATTGGTACATTTTAGGTATACAATACATTTACATTTATCATTGGGTGCTTGTACCCGTACATGATGTATCTTAGTTCTTATTTTTTCTCCATTACCTGTGTGCCCTTCACCCCTCCACTCTTCTGCACTTTCAGTTTAAGAGAGATTTTTCCCCCTAATCACTACTAATTACATTCCAGTACCCTCGATATTCTGTACATCTGCTGCTTGTACTGTCTGTGTGTCTCTGTTTCCTGTGTAAAAGGAGCAAGGTTTAACATCCCTCCTTCCCACTCACAGAGCCCAATAGGGGGCAATCTCACTTGCCCATCAAGAACACATGAGTCTCCTGCCTTTGAGAATTCTATAGCTGGTAGGAATTCTAAAAAATCATCTACCATATTTTTCAAACATATTAAAAGTGTTAAATATGAAGTTCAATAGAACCTTTTTCAGTATTAACTTTGTTTTGGTAGCGGGGATCAAACTCGGGACCTTGCACTTGTGAGGCAGGCGGCAGCACCACGGAGCTAAATCCTCAGCCCTCAGTACTAAATTTTTACTCTTCTAGACAGATCGTTTTTTTTGGCCGGGGGCGGGGGGTACTGGGATCGAACTTGGGACCTTGTGCTTGCAAGGCAGGCAGCAGCACCACTGAGGTAAATCCCCGGCCCTAAAAGATCACTTTTAATCACACTATCGCAGAATTATTAGCGACTTACCTATACTTTTCATGATCTATTCTAAGCCCTTTTCCTAAAAACTAAAGTTTTTGTTTGGGTTCAAGAAAAAGTGGAATACTCTTATTGTATTTTTTCATAGTGGAAAATGACCTGTTTTCCTTGTGTTTGCTAGTCACAAATTTCAACTTGAATCCCTAAAATGTCATTATCATATTTATTTTTTATTTAGCCAAAAATATATCTTTTGGATTCATATATCAACCATAATTTTATCCATCTAAAGTCTTTTAGTTTTAATTTATCAAGTTAATATTTGCTAATTAAAAAAATGTATGTGAAGAATTTTGGAAATTTCAAAACTGTTTTGGTATCTTGCATAAGAAGTAACAGTTCAGCACAACATTCATTAAAATGTCCTTTATAAGCCTAAAGCTTGGGGTAGAAAACAAAGATATAAAGACCATCTAGTAGTCATAAAACTGTACAGGTTTTTAAATTTTAAATGTATTTTATTATTCTTTAGAAACAAATGCCCCAAATTCTCCAGTTTTGAATCAGGCCCACGAGCACCATGCCACTTATTTTGAGGACTTAACAGCTTCTGTTATTCATACAATGAGTTAAAATGCTGGCTTCTTTCCAATTCTAAAAAAATTTTTTTCATGTAGACCTCACTTTATTTTTCAAAGAGAATCAATAAATGCTCTATTTGATAATGATAATTCTTGGCAATTTGTTCCTAAGTATTAAATAAAAAGTTAATTTAAGCATTGAGTATTTAATTCTCTAGCATCCATTTCTTGAGGATTATCTTGCTAAACATAGCTTAACCTTTTCAAAATATATCTGTCTGCTGAGCCTTAGTTCAGACAATTGTATAACTTGTTTCTGCATTAGTAAGTATTCCAAAAAAGGTAATTATAAACAAAAAACAAGTACTCTTTCAATTTGGTGGCTGTTTGCTTTTTCTGTGCAATGACAGTTAACTCAAAAACATAAAACCTGTGATTATATAGTTTTAATGCTTTTATATGTCTGCATAAGTAATTGCTATTTGTGGCCCACACCGAGGTTATTTTAGTGGAATAATAAGGGAAAGTACTTAGGTTTATTTAAAATAGCAAAATATTCTTCAAAATTATGTTTATTTTGTTAAACACCAATTTTGATGAGAATTATAAATTTCATGTTGAAATATTTTGCTTGAAGATGATTTTTGTATTATACAGAGATATTTATAGACATTAGTTAGAATTTTGGGTATACAATTTTAGATTTGAGGTTTTAAAGTTAATGTTACATTAAAAAATCATTACATAATCATTTAAACATTTGTGTTAATGTTAGTTTGGTGATGATCCTTCCAGACATCAGTTGTAAATGTACCTGTTTAGGACACACATGGCATTCCGTAGCTGAACTTTTTCACTCAAGGTTATGTGTGAACATTTAAAATATATCATGATATTCACTAACCAAGCTGCAGTGACACTTTACAATAATCTATTCTACATTGTTTATTTTCTTGTACTCTTCAAATTAACTGTTAATTGTTGTGAATTTTAAAATCTAATCTGCTGAGGAAAATATCTTTCATTCATTTCTGGTAAATTGAGAAAATTTTAGATATTTTTGTCTATTTGTTTTTCTCCTTTTAAGAGTAACCAGCTCATATTTTGTGGAGTTTTTATTCTCTTTCTTATGATTTTGTAAGTGATCTTCTCATACTAAAGATTTTAGTTATTTTACATGTATACTGTGGCTGTATTTCACTCTGTTGGCTTTTCAGCTTTGTTTACAGTGTTTTATGCTATGCAAAAGTTTTAAATTTTATGTAGTAAAACTAGCAACTGCCTGTTCTATGAGTTTTCCTCTTGACTATTCTTAGGTCATTTCTAAACCTAAATTTAAATGTATTGCCATATTTTCTACTAGTGATTTTATGACTTCTTTTGAAAACTAATTGATCAACTTGTAATGTCTTTTTTTTCCCCTTAAATTCTTTTATTGGTGCATTTTAGGTATACAATATGTTTACATTTATCATTGGGTGCTTGTACCTGTACATGATGTGCCTTGGTTCTTATTTTTTCCCCCATTACCTGTTAACCTGTAATTTCTTTTAGTAATGAGAATAAGCATTATTTCTTGAGTGTAAATTTTAAAAACTACAATAATTGCCATTTTCATACTGTTATGGTGTTATTTTTTTCTTTTCTTAATTCTATAGATTTTTAAAGAAAAATCTAAGTCTTTGTAGTATTATCTAAGTCTTTGTAGTAATTCTATAGTTTTTTTAAAAAGAAATTCTAAGTCTTTGTAGTATTACCTGTTTCACGAAAACATTTAAAATTTTTTCTTCAGACCATAAAGAAGAACTTCTGTAAAATACTTTGGTTTCCCATAATAAGACTTTATCAGAAAGACATTCTTTGTGAATATTCTTTCTTATCCTTTGCAGACTCTCTTCAGAAAATATTGGATTTTTCTGTGTATTCATCTTTGAATGAAGATAGGTCATTCTTGGCTACACAAAGTTAATATAGGATAGATTTCCTTGACATTTTTTGCCTGTTCATGTCTGAGTCATTAGAATACAACTTGTAGACATAAAGTAGGAGAACTAGAGATGCAAGTTTATATTACCAGTTCAGTCATTTGAAATTATGGGGTGTTTTGGGGAGATGGGGCAGCATATGAGAATTTTGCCTCTATAGTTTTTCTCTGTAATTGTTAAAACTATTGTCCTAAGAATGATCTTTTCTCATTGAATTTTTATATGGTAAAGATTATTATAGGCTCTTCTCTGGAAGCACATAGCTATTTAGATATTTATATAATATATATATGTATAGTGTGTTTTACAAGAATAACATTATAAATGTTATTTTGACAGCTTATATTCCTTCAAATAATACATATTTGAAAGTATGAATACAAATTCATTAGTAATTATTTTGACTATCTCTGCTACATAAAATTTACAAATCAATAGTGTATATCCGAAACCTACAAATAAAGCAATGATGCTTGATAAGAAAGCAGAAAATTATATAGCAGAAAACTGACGGGAGCACTACATTTATTTAATGTTATTTTAACA